AAGATGACTGTAATGTGTTAGTTATATACTCTTCACTTCGTCTATACAATACACAAGAAATAAAGGAGAATCACGTAACAGAATAGTTGTATAGTTGACAAAAACAGAATATTGCACTGATGCAAATGTCCTATAGCGGCTGCAAGAGGCTTACACTTTTGTTGTTTAACTGTTACGTGCAGCCCTTATACAGGGTGGGGCAAAAGTCACGAAGGGATTTGAAAAATTAATAACTTTTTTAAATTTATTTTGTTTTCATTTTTTTTTCAGGACCGTGTAAAATAAATCCTGGAGATTAATTATGGAGCGTTACAACCTCAATCAACGAACCAAACTTATAGAATTTTATTTTGAATATCACCATTCAATAATTCAAACTCAACGAGCATATCGTCGTCATTTCAATTTGCGGAATTCGCCCTCTGAATCAATGATTCGACGCTTAGTGGCACGATTTCAGCAACAAGGCACAGTTATGGATCTCCCACGAAGCGGAAGGCCACGTTCCGCAAGAAATGAAGGGAACATTCAACGCGTTCAGGAGAGTGTTCAGGAGAATCCGGAAACCTCAACCCGAAGACGTTCTGCTGAGTTGCAGATGTCTCAAAGGTCTTTACGCAGAATATTAAGAGGAAATTTACATCTGTTTCCATATAAAGTGCAGCTAGTGCAAGAACTAAAACCAGCAGATTTTCAAGAACGACTAACTTATGCAGTTCGCTTGCAAAGAATGGCTCGAGAAGATAATGAATTTATTCATTCTCTGATCATGAGCGATGAAGCCCATTTTCATTTGAATGGCTTCGTAAATAAGCAGAACTGCAGAATATGGGGTACCGAGAACCCAAGGGTGGTTCATCAAAGGCAATTACATCCGCTTAAATGTACAGTATGGTGCGCAGTTACGTCTCAACGAATTATTGGACCATTCTTCTTCGAAGACCACGATGGGAATGCTGTATCTGTAGATGGCGACCGATATCGTGATATGATTCAAAATTTCTTAAGACCAGCTCTTGCTGACAATCAAACGATGACTTTCCAACAAGATGGAGCCACTGCGCATACTGCTCGAGCCACTATGCACCTTCTAAGGCAGATTTTTGGCGAACGTTTAATTTCGAGAAATTCAGGATTCAATTGGCCCGCCCGCTCGCCGGACTTAACAGCCCCTGATTATTTCCTTTGGGGATATCTGAAAGGAAAAGTGTATATTAATAAACCCACAACCCTGCAGCAACTAAAAGATAATATTCGAGCAGAAGTAAGTGCTTTGGGGCCAGATATTCTGACTCGGGTAATGGAAAATGCTCTTGCAAGAGCTGCACTTTGCGAGGCTGAAAATGGCGGTCATTTGCGTGATGTAATCTTTCACACTTAAATTGTAAACAAACTCCAAACATTGCATTTTAGTTTTGTGTTAGGGAAAAAAATTAAAATTAAAATTTAAAAAAGTTATTAATTTTTCAAATCCCTTCGCGACTTTTGCCCCACCCTGTACAACCTCTTAAATTACTGATGTGTCCTATTAGGTGTGCCCATTCCGCTTGTATAGGTGTTCTAAGAGGGTTTTTCCAATGTTCTTACAGTAACAATATTGTGTAAGGAATACTGTATAATCATTATTACGACTCTAATAGGAATGATAATTGTTAGTTGGGTTCTTTGTAACCCTTTGTGACTTTATAAATAAAAAACTACATGCTGCTGGCAAGTAATGTTGATTTTGTAAAATTGATACAATATAACCTATTAAGATAAATTAATCATTAGAATGACTGACTCTTCATTTTTTTATTTCACTTTGTGTATTACATTTTGGAGTTTTTACTAAAAAAAATAGAAAAATCTACATAATTAATGACGTTGGGCTAAAAACTGTTTGAGGGACCTGGGGTGATAGCAAAAGACCTCCCCTGTCCGCCATTTCAATTTGGCAAACACCCTGTATAGTACTGTTACACAAGTGTAATACTCGAGTTCGAGAAAATTCTCCGAAAAAACACCAACACTCTTTCGAAGCCCGTAATCTAGTGCATGAGTGTCCCACGAAAACAAAGATCGTTTTTTCTCTTGCATACCTACTAGATGTACAAACAGGCCCAATCCACACTCCATGCTGTTCAGAGAAGGGCTGTCCAACTGACCGACGACTAACTGAGATTATCGAGAGCCCTTTGCACCGACAGGCCATCGGCGATCCAGCTTTCGTCTACCGCTAGGACAACGGACGTTGCTCCTCAGACCTCTCCTCCAGACATCGACCTCACATTCTGAAAGCGTCGAACTGCGTTCTGGATAGAACTGGTCGCTCCTTTGTTCCTAGGGTGACGAGATTGTGGATCAATCTGCCCAAGGAGACTTTTCACAGTTCTACTAACCTTAAGCTTATGCCCACGCAACTCTTTATGCCGTTTTCCAGTATACGGCTTCAAAACATCTAAAAACCCTAACCTGTAGGTATATCCGTGTCAGCAAGTATTAATAGACGAAACGTCAGCGTTATCATTTTACTTTCTCCTTGCAACCCCTATGAATATAAACTGTAAAGTCATCGCGAAGCTCAAAGTGGTAAGTTTTACCTAATCGTCAACATTAAGGTATCAACGGAATTTTACGGTTTTGGCGATGCTGTTAGGCAGGTAGATATTTTAGCAAAATTTAAAAGCCTGGGCGTCATGAGATGAGGATAAATTCGCCTGATGGAAGTTTCGGAATCATAATTTATGTTAAAAGTTCTTCCATCCACAACAACGAGCGGTGAAACGCTTTCCTCTCCTCACACCAATTGTTTGGCTGCCTTTTAATGATAATAGCACAGGCAAATTCGTGGATTATCCAATATTATACCGAGTGACAAAAAAAGGTAAACACCTACCATTTTACTAGTAAGGGACACTGAACATATATGCCAACAATTATTGAAATCGGATAAACATAGGTAGGTGTTTACCTTTTATTGTCACTCAGTATATCACTTAATCATTCATATATACTGGATCAGCTGTTTAACATTCAGCAGAGTAATATGGCCTATTTCTGAAATAATCAACTGATATGAAATTGCATCTAAAAATACTACGAGAAGTCATATCAGCGTTTGAATCCATGTGAGCTTTTCATCTCCATCTGTTTTCCTCGCTGTTTTCTAATACAATTGCTATTAGTTTCTAGAGTCGCCTCTGGAGTAAAAAAAACAGCCTTACTAATGGCTTTCTAAGATGCATCCGAACTGGTATTATAGTTTTCCTGATATTCGTAGGTATTGAATAAACAAACTGCTATCAACCTTTATATGATTTATAGACTTTGAAGTTGAGTCATTAATTTTCAGGTAATGATTGTAGAAGGAAGATAAACCAAAATATGTGTGTAAAAATAAAAAAAAAAATTAAAAAAAAATTTACCTTGTTTTATAAAGTATCCTCCCAACAAGTATTTCAGTGCGGACCTGTATTTGATCGCGAGGTCTTGGAGCACCGGCATGCCGTCTTAAGTCACCTGATTCACGAGCCCGTTGTACTACATTAACAAAGGCACGAGGGGTTGGTTGCACTCGATTGGGAAACCGATCCGCATAAACATGTGCCATTTTTTATTTCGTTTGAGCCACGCAACAGGCACTACTATTCACTGACGCGTTACCGACTCACACTGACTGTATACAACACAACTGAATAAAATAATTGTAAAAACATCGTTCCAAATTCTTTCGCTTTTTTGTTTCCGATGCGATGAACCGATAAGGCGGATTATATTCGTTGTTGCCAAACACGAGCACATAATATTATCATTGAGACAGGGCAGTACTCAAACTTCCAAAGGGCTATAACTTTGTTACTTTAATTTTACCAGAAAAATGGTAAAGGAAAAAAACATTTCTTTTGATCATATCTACTCACTGTTAAAATAAATGACTCAACTTCGAAGTTGACATATAATACACATTTAGAGAAAACTGCCAATACATCCAAAAATAACAAAATTCCAATTGATATGGATCCAAACATGTTCACCTAGCAAGATACAGGGTGATGAAGTTTTATTTACGAAATTGAAAAAAATATATATGTACTTATGGAACGGGTACATATGAGCCGTTGAAAGCCACGATGGTCCAAGTCCAAATTTTCAGATATCGACGTTCTATGTGTATACTGTTCTGGATGGATGAATCTTCGTCTGGGAGAGTTTTGAAAAATGTATCTTTTCGTTTTGCACACATATGGCACCAGTCTGTTTTTATGTCAATGGAAAGCTGTAACCGTTATGAGGCAGAATGGGACAAGTTTGACTTAACCCACTCTCGTTTTCAATAGTAGTGTCAAGCGGGCAAAAAATAGCATCAAGTACGTGCCAGAAGACTGGTATAACAATAAGAACAGGAAACCCTTTTACGTCTGTGAGATGGAACGAACGGTCTGATTTTTTCTCATCAACAATATTAGAGAAAGCTGTAACCAGACGAAAGAAAAATGGTACTAATGCTACTGTATCATGGGTCCAGATCCAGTGGCTACACTTTGAGAGAAAAGAACCTTACAAAATGTTTTATAAAGATACTTTGAATGATGAATTTCCATATGATTTTATAAATTTACTACCAAATCGAAAAGGCGCACCCAAAAACTTCAAAAATATAAACCTTCCTCCTTTGTATGAATCCCCTCTCCCTGTCAATGACAAAAACAAGAAAAATATGGAAGAGCTTCTCCAATTCATACCACCAGTTCATCGCAGTTTTTTCAAGAATCTGAAGACAGATGCAACTTTGCCAGATACCGGACCACCGCTTGTTACTGAAGAAGAAGAAGGAGAAGGCGAACGGACTCGAGAATTTCCAGAAATTCCATAAGGTCGCGTCAGTACAGTACAGTTTTTGTGTAAAATATACATTATTTTTTTAATGTATGGAGATTGATTTCTGTCGTTTTGTAATAAAATTATCAATTCATATAATGTTGTGTAACTCTACTTTATATTATAATCATTATACAAATATGAAACCAAAGGTAAGAACCGTTTTAAGGTAGAGTGGGCTAAAGCTTAAACATATGAAAACATTTTTTTTTTTATGATTAGATCCTTAAATTGATTCTACCTTTAAGGGTATTTTGATTTCTTACTGCAGTTTTATTACTCTACATTTATCAGCCGCATCTAAACTTTAAAGCCTTAAATCTCGGAAACGTCTTTTTGTGACTTGGACCATCCTGGCTTCCAATGGCTCATATACTGTGTTAATATTTTGACATTCAGTGACCACATCATAAGCAATAAACACAGTTTCCCGGCCCAAACTAAACCAGGGACGTTGGCACCTGGACCCCTGATAGGGAATATTTTCTGGCCTTTTCGGAGGAAAGAAGTGTATTTGATATAATAACGTTGAATTTTCCATAAATTTTGTCTATCAAGGATTTTTTTTCAGATAACTCATTTTGAATATATTTAGGTTTGAACACTTAAGGTAAAATACCAAAATATTCTTATGAAAAGGTTCAGCCTCCCCTATTCTGAAAACACAGTGGGCCTTGATATTGGAAAGACTATATGGTATGTAAAGAGAGCTATGGCACCTCATTAAAATAGTAATTGAATAATATGCGCGTCGTATTATCAACCAGTAGCGTAAAAAATTACCATTCGTTGAACCCTGTCTATGCACGCCACTGGTCTCCATAGTATACACCTCCTGGTGTCGCCGATGTTAGATTCTTTGTTGGTCTAAAATCACAACTAGTACTTGTGGAACCTATCAATCTCATTCTTATTATTTTACTTCTGAAATTGTCTGCCTTTTTTTAAGTCAGCTCAACAAGGATGATATCACAAACCGTTAGTAACTTCGGACACAAAGCATGACGAGAAAATATAAAGAAGGCCACTGTTCGTACTAAGCCAGGCATTTTCCAAAGAGTCAGAGGGTATTTGTGGCGTAGAGCCATTACCACCGACATAACAAGACCTAACAACTCAGCTGTGAAAAGGCTGTGACGTCTCTCTAAGTAGGCCAGTTCATATTCTTAAGGCGTTTCGCCATGTTGGCTGGTAAGAGCAGTGCTGACATATCTAGATATGATATAGCAGTATCGAAATCTCTTCTTATTAGTTACACCTATCTGTGGGCGAATTTGCAAGATATACTCGGGGCTACGCAGCTTCAATGATGATCTGATTATTCTTTCTCATCTGTCTCAGTATGTCAAGAACACAGTTCCGATATTACGTTCAATCTGTCACGTGTGAAGTCTAACATTTCTGCAAAAATGGAATGCGATAACATAGCAGCTGACCTCAGATTCTGAGGCTGTTATCACGTATGAATATTTATGTTGTTTTGCTTTGTAAGCGTTAGCGTTTTTTTGTTTTTGTTTTCTGGCAAATAAATGTATTTTGAGTTTGAATTTGAATTTGAAATTGTTGTTTTAAACTTATATTTGTTTCTCGCAATTGTTGCCCGATGTTTTCAAAATACTTTGCTGCGTTTCAAATTGTGCCGGTCATTATGCGAAAGCTCCGAGAGTACGCAGTTTGTACTTTGCTGAGAACAGCATTATTTGGGAATCCAGCAATTGCCAAAATGCTTTTCAAATGGCATTTCAAGCAGAAGAATCCGAAACTAAAAATTGAGGGACAAGGAACAAGAACTACTTAAATCACTGCAAAATAGCATCATGGATAAATGATCCCAACAAAAATCAACTAGTTTTCAAAATTATTTAGACTTCCGCAGTTTTCATATATTATTATAACACACTCTGTAATTGTTGATAAACATCTGGATGTAAAATGTACTCCCAAGAACCGACAGTCAACTCGGGTAATATTAAGGACTCAATTTTTAGACACAGTTACTCGTCAAAAAACAATAATTTTTTTTCTCTATGTTTTGTATGCACTTCACATTCATATAGATTTATTAGGAGCCATGGAGGACTTACTTTACTTACACCAAAATCTCTCTGTCTGAAGTCAATTTGTAATAAATTGATGGTCTATCCAGCTCCAGATGAGAGACTCAACTTTTCAGGCTCTGCAAAGAACCTTTTCAGATATATTAAACCAGTTGAAGAGAACATGATTTTATTGATGGATGAAATACTCGTTTAGCAATATTTAGATTTTAAAGGGGGTAATATTGTTGGAACATCAATTAGTAATGCTTAATTAGCTACAAGAGCTTTTATGATTTTAAACTTTTATTCTAATTTCAAAGAAGTTGTTCACATCTGACCTGTTTCTAGCATAATATATTATACAACATTCCAAAAAGCTTATTATTGGATTAGAGGAAATAGGTTAAAAAATTTCAATGAATAGTAAAGTAATCATTGTTTATCCACTGGATAACAACGTCTTTTCTTCGTTTTTGATACAGTGTATCAGGAATAATTGGCTGAATTCAAAACCAGACCAGCTTTTTAACATACCCCGATTTTGAAATGCATGAGGTTTGTGTCGCTTTATTTAAATCTCTTAAAACATTGTACCAAATGGAAGGTCATAAAGTATTGAAACGTAGTACTGGTTTGACCCCAAAAAGCTTTATATCCTACCAGCCTTGAAATGCAAGATGTTCGCTGAGCTCTCAAGATATACAAACCATTTGTAATAGATGCAGTATCAAGGTTTGGGACAAACATACAACACTTCAAAGAATTTTGATTAAGTTGTCGTTATTCTTTGTTATGTTTTTCTGTTGTTTTCCTTATTCCTTTCCTGGCAAGAGCTCACCTCAGACCTCCTTGTTGGTTCTTGCTGGACGCAACTGTTCAACAAGTACTACAGTTTTGAGTACCACTTATGTCGATTATATGTAATTTTCAAGTACCAGTGTATATGCCTATCATCATAGTATTGTCCACATATTCCTGTCAAATTTTGTTTATTGGTTTTGACTAACATTGGGTTATGTAGGTCGTTGAAGAATTTATTATTTTTAACAAAATGATGTAAGCTTTTATAACATCAACTTATTACTCTAATGTGCACGTGATGTTGAATGAAAGATCAGTGAAAATCAGGGTGAAAATAGTTAATAACCACCTTAATGTTTTCCACCAAGTTGCCTTCATATTCCACAAGCACATTTCTGAATTTTCCGTCATTTACATCAAGTAAAGTGTGTTAAATATGCTGCATTAATGATATATTGTTCACTAGCGCTGCGCTGTCGGCCGGCCGGCCTACTCGTAGTGACGTCACGCGTCTGCTGTCAGGCCTTGTTCTGTCGGTGGTAACGGTAGCGCACGGGCTTTTGTTGAATCCAGAGGTGGTCACTTTCAACTCCTCCGTTAGACTGGACGTTATAGCGTTTATTCACAACTATTTTTTGTTCCTAATGTTATGACCTCATAAATTTAGAGATGACCACGTAACTTGTACCAAATATATTGTTTATTTGAAGTTTATTTATCTATAAACAAAAATGAATATGCCGGCAAAATCAATATCGTGCACACGAAAGGTTTAATGGATGGTAGGCTTCTACGCTACTGATTGAGGACAAGACAGGCGAATTAGTCAGTTCCAATATCAAGCCTAACGGTGTCTTCAGAATAGAGGGCTTAGCCTTTTCATAAGGATATTATAAGATTTCAACTCAAATATTCAAACCAAACATCTCCAAAACGAGTGTTCTGACAAAGATTTCTTGACTGACAAAATTTATGGAAAATTGAATGGTATTTTATAAAATGTACTTGTTTTCTCCAAAAAGGACAATGTCGTAGAAAATATTTCCTACTTGGGGGTCCAGATTTAGTTTGGACCGGGACACTTTGTGTGTTAAAATATCAACTCAATATCTTTACCCGCTCTGTACAAGGGTGGATTTTCTACCCTAGGAATATTGATGTGTCTTTCTGGAACACACTGTGTAGATATATAGACTTATCTCCTCCCATGTATTACTGTTATTTACCTAGTAAGCCTGAGCTTTAAGATTTTTGTTAGATGTATATATTGCATCCAATTTTCACGTTCTTGATTATTGATTTGTACCGGAGGTGTCATGTTTTTAGGGAAGTTAGCTATTGAAGCAGCTTTTTCAAGAGCAAATGTAAATCAGTTTTCAATTGTGTCATGAAAACTGAAATTAATATATACCAAGTGACATATAAATCCGAACACCCAGTTTAAATGGTTTTATTTTATTAAAATTTTGTATAAGTACTTAATGAAGCATAATAAGTAAATGATAAAAATTTCAAAATGATTGCACTGCTTTAAAGCCCGTTGACCTTTAATAATGTGTGGATGCACCCTGATGTGCTACGCATTCCCCAACGCGCCTAGGCATTCTTCTGATCAGGTGGTCAATGTCCTCATTCCAGGCAACCACCAACTCCTCTCGAAGTGCTTCTAGAGTCTGAGGAGGACGTTGCAAATTAAGCAATCTCCTACCCATCATATCCCACACGTGCTCAATTGGGGATAAGTCGGGAGATCTTGGTGGCCATGGTAACAATGTGACATCATTATGTTGAAAGAAGTCTATTGTGACTCTTGCAACATGTGGTCGGGCATTATTTTGTTGGAAAGTTGGATCTGCCAGGGTGTCAAGATAGGGTAAAAGATGGGGTTCTAGAACTTCGTGGATATAACGCTGCGGGTTTATGTTACATCTGATGAAGATTAAAGGTGACCTGGAACCATAAGCTATAGCACCCCAAACCATAACTCCAACAGTGTGATGAACATGTCTTTCAACAAAAAACTGTGGATTCCTTCTTTCACCACGTTGCCTTCTAACCCTGGCACGACCATCGTGCATGCCTAAACAAAATCGAGACTCGTCACTAAAGACAATACTGTTCCATTCCTAATCCCAGAGTGACCGTTGTCTGCACCACTCAAGGCGATTACGTCGGTGTTCTCGAGTTAAAGGGAGAACCCAGTGTGGCCGGTATGAAAACAAGCCAAAACTTCTCATTCGTCGGTAAACACTTCGCATGCCAATAGATCTTCCGTGTTCTGCAAACCATTCATTTGCAATGGACCTGGTAGT